AAATAACAGTGTGTTATTTAGAAAAGAATAACAAATTAGAAAGAAAAAAAGATTTTAAAAATACAGATTTCAGTATTCTGAGGCTCTGAGCCCCATTTATTTTCCTCACGGACAGCAAAAAAAATCCGACATGATATGATTTAAAATAAAAACAATAATCGTGGCTTGATATTGAGTAAGGGGAAATCGTGTTGGTGAACACGAATCCATAGATGAAATGTTGTGACTATAACACGAAATGCCGTGAGACTGGGTTGGAACAGCAGCAGAACAACCACTCATGCCCAGCCTTGCTTTCATTTTACACAGCAAGCTGCGGCCTGCTTTTAAACTGTTCTTTACTCACCATCTTCTCTTTCTACTATGAAGAACAGAAACTACCTAAGATAATAAAGATGCTTAGGCTACACTTTGAGGGGACACCACTAATTCATATGTCAAAATGTTGAATTCTCTCTTTTTGTTGGTGAGACCTTGAGCAGAAAGAGTATAGTGTTGTTGTCTTATTATGTTGAACACTTGCTACCAAATGTTTATTAGATATTGTCAGTTAAGAGATGACACAAATTTAGCGTTCAAAGATGTAGGGCAACAGACACATTTCCCTGGTTGGACACTACACCTTTTAAACATCACCATGTTAGCACTAACACGGTGAGCATGCTAGCTTGCTCTCATTAGCATAAATCTCATAACACAGCCTCACAGTGCTACTCACTTGGCTTTACATTTTTGGTTTACATTTCTTGTTTTTATGAATTGAGAGCAATGTCAGTATTGCTGAATACTCTCTCTGTTGGCATACTGTATGGAGAGCGCAGTCATCTATGTTTCTACCAGTAAGGAGCCTTATCAGGGGGGTGTAAAGTGCAATGCTAACTCGGTTTAAAAAGCAGTCGCTGTTGTAATATGTTAGCTGTTTAGCCATGTTGCATTTTGTCAGCTGTAGTGCTTTTACAGCTAAAGTGTATAACAGGGCTGTAAGTGGTATTTAGAAATGGACAACTAGCACATAAAAAACCCCCAACTTAACTTTTAATCTTTAATCACCTCCATATCTCATCCCTCATGAAGAAATGATGTTGGAAAAAATGTATATATTCATTTCTACAGCTTCCTAAAAGTACCACCATTTTAATTGAGTGATGGAAGAGAATTGAAGGCTGAATGACAGACGGACAAACAGGGTCGATCCTTGACTCGTTAATCTTTGCACTTTAATGGATGAAGAGTGACAGAGAAACCTCCAAGAAATCAATCCTTATGTGATCTTCTCTGGCAAAGCTCGTGAAGCAACAGTCATTACAACCCGCCTTTGTGAGTCTCTACCCACACAAACACAAACACACACACACACACACACACACACACACACACACACACACACACACACACACACACACACACACACACACACACACACACACACACACACACACACACACACACACACACACACACACACACACACACACACACACACACACACACACACACACACACACACACACACAGGAAATAAAATATAAAACAGCCACACCCTTCCAAATCCTGTCCCAGTGAAATGCCACATGCTCTATGGATGTCAACCTTAATTACCTCTCTGTTTAATTATTCTCTTTCTTTTGCAAACAAATGAGCTGACACGCATGTTTGAATATGTGTGTCCCAATCGGTAGACATTAATGCAGTGAGGAAAAACATAACAATTAAGGTATCATAGGGAAAGAGCTAATTCAATTCAGCTATTCAAACTCCAGTATGCACGTTTAAATCCATTAATGCACCTGAATCAATTACCACGTCCAATAAGCCACACCTGATCTTCAAGGCTTCATGATTTTTTGCAGCTTTGTGGATTCCCTACAGCGCGCCCTCCCTGTACCCCAGCCTATTTCCCCGCACTCAGGCTTGCCATGGTAGATCAATGGCACGGCATGAGGCTAGGTTTTTAATTGAGGTGTCCTGAAGGGTGGGGGGTGGTTTAATGAGGCCAGGTCCTGTTTTCATCCTGACCTTTGAGGCTCTGCCCTACAGGTGTCCATCCTCTTACTTAAAAGGAATGTATGGGCTTGTAGGGGCTACCCCAGAGGTGTCACACCTCACCAAGCTCCTCTGCAGAGCGTGACATTTTCACCTGAATCTAATATGCCCAGGAGAATTCTTTTTTTTATAGCCATTACACAGGAGCTGGTGTTCTTATTAGCAGTGCTACCCTGCTGCAAGATGAACAGGATGTTCTGTGGTCACGTTTAAATGATGTATATGAACCACGTCATCCACGTGCACTTTTGTCTGGTGAACTAAATGTGAGCTGATATTTTTGAGTCAAGTTCCTTTGTTCTCCTTTAGCTAGCTGATACTTGGATCAAAATGCTATAGGAGTAGATATCTGGTGTAAACTAAGCATTGCATGTACTGATTTGACTCAGCCCAGAAAAAAGGAAACCATGACTTAGATTACAAAAGTTTATTACAATATTCAAACTCACTTGTTTGTTTTTTTAAATATCTAGCCTGTCTGCATCTGGAACTGCGCAAGTATACATGCTTATCACAGCATTCTTTTGTGAGACTAAACCGTAAATTAAAAACCAAAACTAGCTCTTTAATTAATGGTTAGTTTTTAGAGCTAGTTTTTACGCTTCATTTAGAGTCTAATTGAAGCGTAAAGCCTTACTTTGAAAAGGGTGATTATTTATTAATAATAATAATAATAATAATAATAATAATAGATTAATTTTGTTAGCGCTTTTACAGGTGCTCAAAGTCGCTTTACAGAGATAGTGAAAAGAAAAGAACAACAAATACATATAGTAAAGTCAAATAAAAATCAAGCAATACAAAAACAATCACACATTAAAAGCCAGATTGAAGAGACAGAGTTCCTTTGAGTGAAACAATTAACAACATTTCAGTTACACACAGATGATTGAACAGGTGGACTGTTGCTAGTGCCAATTTGTATGATCTAAAAAAAAAATCTAATCAATATAAATATTTATTTTTATTTTTCATTCAATAAGTGAGGCGTATATAGTGTAAAATATATAATTATAGCTGCTATGTCATTGTCTTTGTATTTTTGTCTGTTTTAATTTTATTTATCACTATCACTTTTGACCTTTGCTTCTTTGACTTTTGGGCATGTCATATTTGAATGGCCCTTGTGCCGATACATAAAGTTCCTTTGGTATCTGGAGTGCTCACCATATGTGAATGTATTAAATGTCTATATTATAATTGGGAAAGCAACGTTTTCCATTCCACTAAGACAGAAATCGGGCCAACTTTTGTGTTTTTAATATAGGTATAACATGTCACTGAATTTTTCATTTTGCATTATAAGAATGTAAAAACGTTGTACGCTTCTTGAAGAAGTTACTAATAGCTTACAGTTCAGAAGAATACTCTGTGAGTAGTGACAGGGCCAGATAGGCATTGGTCGTATCTATGGCTACAACTAAGGTCTGAAATATTATTTGACAGCGTGTTTCATCATTCAAAGCCCTGTAATGGTGCAGACTTGATGTGATAATCGTGACATGTTACAGTTCCTATCTCCTAGCAAGTCTGAAGGGCTAATATTGAGGTTCAGGAACAGGACATTTCATGGACACCCAATCAGATTACCTCTGCTGCAACCAGATTGAGCAGACTCTTGATTTTTGTTTTTCTTTCATGCTCCTGAGGGGTTGAACCATTTTTTCATATTTTTCATGAGAGAACATAATTCATATTGTAGGCTATAGAGAATGGCTTCAACATTTTGTCGTTTAGACTTCACTATGTTGGGCGCAAGTCCGCATTTATTCTTCATTGCATCACATTATCGTTTAGGAAACAATTTGAAGAAATGGCAGTTTAGATAATACGAGAAAAAAAGAGACTTAAACTAAAATTAAATAAAATCATGCTGTAGATTTGTTAAGATAAGGGTAATCAAAATTCTGAAAATGCCAAAAGCTTCCATGGGGATAACAGGAGTTCATTTTTTAGTTATATCCTTTTTTGCTATGTCTTAAAACACTTTTCTTTTGTAATTTCCCCCCAAATACAATTATTCTTAATTATGTTATATTAAAAATGAAGTCAATTATTCCTGCTTTTCCAGTCCTTTGCACCCCTAGTGAAGATTGATGTGAGCTAAAAAGAAACTAGAGAGGAGTGATTTCTCACTATTGGGAACCTTCACAGGTGTAACATTTAACATTTTATTTGAAATCGGCTGTTTTCTGTAAATGCTAAACCCATGTCTGTATTCAGACTTCGCCTTTCAGATGAAACTGCTGCCATTATGAGAAGGTGACCCTGTGCCTTTGGTTATTATAGTTTAATCAAAGCAGTGATTATTTGAAAAGCCACATACCAAAATACCCTATATCCTGGTGGAGTACATCTGCATTGCTGTTTGCCCAGTAGGGACTGCCTCAATGAATAATTGTCACCTGGATGCGACCCGTTGAGATGGGGAAGGTCTCACTGGGAGGATATGACCGTGGAGAGGAATGCCACTGAATGTTCTTTTTTTTCCCAAAGCCTCTCCATCTTTTGGTGGTGAAGGATTTTTTGCCCCCCTTTCTCTTGAAATGTTTACACTTTCAACATGTCTTGATTAAGTTATGTATCTCCATAGTAAGCTGTCCCATCCTTAATTACAGTTAGCTTAAGCTAGATTTGGATAGGCTTCAGTGCTAATGGGTAGTAGTCAGGTTGGTCTTTCTATTGGTCATTTAAGTTCTGTTGTGGAACACATACAGTTTTATAAGAAATAGATTGTTAAACCTTAATTGAGAATATACAAATACTGCAAAACCCCCTGAGGGCTAAACAATTATTTAACAGTAATGAACATAATTTGAACATAAATGATTTTGGTGCCAGACTGTAATGAGAGCATCATAATCATTTGTGTATTAGTCAGAGAAATGTGGTGGGAACATAAGCCTCATGACATGTAGAGGGAGGCATTATACTGCATAGAGAACAAAAGCCAAAAGAAAACTGAAAATAATGTATTTTAATGAGAATAACATAATTAAGAATGAAAACAAGGGTAATTCTAAATTACTGACCTCTTACCTTATCTTTGTCAGTGACAGATATAGTTTGCTGGTCATTTAGTATTCCTGTTATTCACACTGTGTTGTTCACTATCTAAGAAGACAAAATGTCACAGTGCCCTTTAACTGTTATATTCCAAATTGCTTGTAAGTGTATATGCTGCAGGTAGACAAAGCTTTAGTTTATGTAGAATATGTCCATACATATGCCTGGTCCTGCATCTTTTTATTAAAGATTGTTCAGAATTACATATTTTCTTTGCTTCAAACCATAACAGTTAACCAATATTCTCTAGTTTCTCTTGTATTATACATTGAGCACTGAGATGTGCTTTTAAATCCAGTCTGATCTCGTTTCAGACAGATGGAGTATTCAGCCAGAAACAACTTGCTCCACGGGCAGAGTAGTGCGAGCGGCAGCAGCTTCAGTCTCACACTGCCTGCTTTCAACCACAGAACTGCTGTCACAAGTCAAAACAATACACTTCCAGACTTGAAGTGATAACATACACTTGTTTTGTAAAAAACATCAGAATCTGGCCGGTGAGAAGCATGAGAGATTTGTGATAGGAAAACATGACTGATATAGACGGTGTCCAACTGAAATGAAAATAAAACAGACAAAAACATAAATTGGCACTCGTGTTCCCTTACTGTGACCGGGAATAAAAAACACTTAAGACAGAATACTAAAGGTGTGAAAGGCAACACTGTCCGAGCATCTTCTTGGTTTTTATACCGTCAGAGCATCAATTTAACTGTAAATACTTTTTGAGCAGCATCTTGCATTCTTCTTAGAACTCGTGTCCACATAACACTTCCCCAGTGTTCACAAAGTGAGCGTACACTCATTTGCCCAAAATTGTTGTGTGTAAATATATGTGTTAATGTGTGTATTTGTTCAGAAGTACATGTCCTGGAAGAGGCTTTGTCCCTTTTCAATGTAGGCCTCCTTCTCTTGTGCAGACATCTTCTCCACCAGCTCTGGCCTCTGGCTGACATCCCGGTAGGAGTACTGCCGACCCCCCACCATCACCATCGGCTCATCTCCCACATCCTCAAACTCATCATCGTCATCTTCCTCCTCCTCTGCGGCCCGAGACTTAGCAGCTGACGCGATTGGAGGAACTGCGGGAGAGTCGTCGTCCGATTCGCTGGTGTCGCTGTCCGAGTCGCTGGCGTTAGCCTTTCCAGAGGATCGACTCTTGGTGGCAGAGCTGGCTCCGCCTCCAGCTCCTCCCACTGCTGCTGCACCCCTCTTCTCATGGATGAGCAGGGCGCGCATCACTTCCTCATTTTCATCTGACTGATCCATTCCAGCAGGTGCTCCATCAGGGGCTACGGGTACCACGTCGTCTCCTGTTCAAACAAAACCATAGCTTATCAATATTACAAATATATTAAATACTGAGATTATTCACTTTTTCCTATATACAGTATTTCTTAAATTGTGCCAAGCCCCGAGGAAGTAGGGGGGCTTGGTAACACATTTTGATAGTGGGCAAACGGTGGTACTACAACTTCTGTGTCAGTAGGCCCAAAAACACTTTTCCCCATTGACTTATATTGGGAAAGAGACATAATTCAGTAAATCAGTGGATATTTAATTTGTGCTAAATAAACTAACATGTACATTCTAATAGCCCTTATTTAAATCATTCTGTCCTGAAAGTGGTGGAAAATGCGGTTGACTGTGTAGTTATTCTTCTTCTTCCTTCATTTGACTGAGCCGCGATCTGGCTTGACGCTGCTGTGACAGAGCGGATTGGAGGCAGGGCTTAGCGAAAGGGCGAGCGTTCATGCTCCATCATCGGTTGATCCATGGAAGATACAGGAAGGATTCAGGTATTTTTGTAGAGACAGGTCATTTTGGTTTCATGCACCATTGAGTAACTTTCACCGGAATGACAGAGCCCCGCCTCTAACGCTGTATCTAGTTATTTTTATAAATAATTGACTTCTTGCGGCTAAGTATCTGAACAATATCTGTGTTTAAACCAAGTCCATTCTAAATGTGTAATGTCTATTTCCAGACTCTGAACATCTAACATCATTGCAGACGGACGCACAGAAACACACCTCAGAGACAGGACGCTGGGAAGGCATAATTCATGCCATTTCCCCAGAAATTGACTTTATTAATGAGCCATCCTTGCTCAGCCATACACTAATCAAGCCTCTACTTATTTCAATTAAGCAATTACGGTTCACTGAGAGTCTGGCCTGGCCTGACTGCTGCATGCCCTTGGGGGTGGAGAAACAATGACACAATAAGACAGCTGGGTGTAGGACCACTCTGAGAGAGGGTGATAACCTGTAATGTTGACCTGTAAGAGCCTGTTTTGACCACAAGTGGAACAGGGAGTGGAATTTAAGGTCATAGGAGAGGCGTGTCTCTTGAGACGAGTAAGGTCTGTGCATTTAGCAAGCCTCATCATGGACAGGCAAGAGCATTTTTAATTAAGGACATGAAAACAGCGTAGGAGTGGGAATTCATTGTCAAATCTAACATCTTCTGACTCATGGAGTGGTAGATAACGTGCTTATGGGAAATATGCTTGAAATAGGGAAGAAATGTCTGTACAATGTGGCACATTTATTGTATTCCGTTTCATTTGCACTATTTTATTTTCATTTCTGTATTATTATTATTTTGTATATATATATATATATATATATATATATATATATATATATATATATATATATATATATATCCCCCCGGAATTTTTTTTCGAGAAATGACCCCTTAAATGATGACTTCTGGTGATGTTAGAGGGGGGGGGAAAGGAGAAATCGAGGCTTAAAAATATGAGAAGACTGATCAATACCTCCATAATCTTCAGTGTGGAAAATATTATTTATCAACCTGAACATCTACTACTTTACCAGGAATTTGTGTTCTCAGAACTGGTCTGTTTTTTTCTTTCTTAAAACTGTTCATGTTTTATGAACCAACACCTTCACCAAGTAGCTTTACAGTGAACTGCATGTGAGATATAAAATTAATAGCATCTTTTTAGTAGCATTAATTATAAATATTTAAGTGGTTCAATACAAGTCACTACAGCATTTCAAACTGAACTGTGAATAAATGCAATTTAAAAAAAATAACCACAGCACAAAATGTCATAAATTGTGTTTTTTCTTTGTTTCTCTGAGGATTATTTACAAACAGGCTTATTTACATATAGCAATAACTCAGAAATGAAAAAGCTACATCGTCTAACACGAACAACCAGTTAGCATAATGATAATATATGTGTTATGTACAATGTAACTGGCAAGGCTAGAGCAAGAAAGAACATAAAGTTTGCAAAAGGTTTAAATAACTTCAAGTATCTGTCTTCAGATTACGTGGAGGTTTTAGTCCGATGGGAAGCAGATTTTAAGCGACACCGAAGATAAACCAAAAATGTGGTGGAGCTGCAAACCGTGTAGTGTTGCTGGGACAGAACAGGAGCTATAACCGTTGGAAAATACATCACAGACAATGCAACAAACGTGGAGACAGAACAATCACTTCTGTGATAAATGCCCACTTATTAATAAACTTCTAACAACCATGGGAAACCTCCTCTCTACATATAAAGTGATATCCAAGCATGGGAAACAAAAGACAGCATTTACCTGTTTGCATCCAGCTAGCCAAGCCTTTCTTGTGTACCAGCTACTTGTGAAGCCTCGTGTATAAATTTTGTCTTTTTCACGAGATTGCTGCGATATATTCAAATCGGGTTGGTCCGGTGCAAGGTCTTTAAGCAACAATTTATCTGCCAAACTTCTCCTTTCGAAAGGATTGGAGATTAGCTCTTGAACAGAATTAGGCGCGGACCGAGGTCCGGAGACTCCACCTGCACACGAAGCCATCCTCATCAACTACTGCGTCAACCGGATACGAGTCACTGTCCAAACTACTCACAGACTGCACTGGGCGCTGACATTGGCGCCCGGTGACCGTCATCTTTGACGACGCTGATTGGCTGAAATTATATTTTCGCGGCATAGTTTACACGTTACAGATAGCAACAGTCAGCTGCTGGTGGCTGCTGCTGCACTGGTTGAAGGCTCCTCTCTTAGCGCCCAGACGAGAGAAGGTGCATGGGCAAGGCCAGGCAGGAAACATGTGACTTATCAGTAACTTTAGACATCGTAACACAATTTTAAACGAGATTTTATTGTAGATTATACATTTTACTGATACCAATTATATAATATTTACCTTGTTCATTAAAAATAAAAATAAAAACATATATATTTTTTTAAACATATTTTTTTTTTTTTATTTTAATTTTAATTATTATTATTATTTATTTTTTTCAATATGGGAAGAGGTGGGGCAGCGCCCCTAGCGCCCCTATGGACCGGCCGCCACTGCACAGTATAAAGAAAGGCTTGACAGCTACATATCTGGGAACTTGAAAGAAAACATCACTTACGGCTCTTGATGACTTCCGGCTCGCTGTAAGCGCCCGTCACGGTGCTCTGGGTCAACCATACGGGCCTCTCCTTGGTCACCTTGCCTTCATTGGCCAGTCTCTGCTGCTCTTCCTGCTCCTCCATGCTGATCACCACATTCTGGGTGTACAGGTCACCGTAGGACGAGCCTCTGTTGGACCAGGCTTCACGGTGCGGACCGGTCATTCCAGCGGCTAATGCAGCACGTTCCCGGCTGGAGGAGAGATTCAATAAATATCCTTTAAACAATTATCTCCAACAGTGCTTACAAATGTAGAATAGAGAGTGTTAAAAGGGCAAGCTAGAAATGTTTCATTACTGCAGCGTAATAGAATAGAATTCCACTGTGGCAGAAACAGTCAGTGGATACAGTATCACTGAGGCTATTCCTGCTGTTAACAGAGGTGAACCCCCATTTGTTTTCAGTAAATCTGCTCAAGGATGTGACTCTTGAGGATTGGCGTAATGACTTCTGAGGGGAATATGTTTTTATGAGTAAAAAGTAGAGGTTGGTTAGAAGCTCACCTCTGTCTGAGGGCGGGGATCTCAGCGGGCTCCGGCTCCAGCAGGTCCTGGGACAAGTTGACATCTTCGGTCTCGCGTAGCAATGCGTAGATGGGTTCGATCTGCTCGTTGAAGCGTGCCACCTGTGTCCTGCCGTCAGAACACACAGACGCATCCTCTTCTACCTCCGTCTGGCAGAAGGTGCAGCGAAATGTACCTGAAGGTTAGGAGAGAACCATGTTAAATAAAAGCACCATGGAACTTATCTGGCCAAAGCACGTACCCCTTTCCAAGATATGTTGTTTGACAGAAGTTAAACACCTTTGTATTTCTTTGAAGACCTAACTTACATTTCTGTTGGTAACCGACACCGTATCCAACCTCTTTTCAAAACAACCAATCAGTTTATCTTTTCCTTCACCTCTACAAAGCAGCTAAAGATGCATTCAATATTGACTGGACTGGAGTGTGGAACCAAACTGACACTTGTGACATGCAGCATGACGTAATTTGGGTCACATTAACCATATGCAGACATATGTAAGCCGAAAGTATGAAATTGCTTTTACCAACAATCCTGGGACATGCATATAGGTCCATTGGTTTTCTTTTTACCATGGCTATAAAATAATTTCAAAAAAAAACCATTTGCAGAAGTTAGCCTACTTGGGAATGTGAACCACCAACCTAACACACCAATATAAACATGCGTCTTTCCTGTATAAAATATATCACACATTGCATGAAAAGGGCTATTCAAGAGGTTAAAGGTGGGGAAGGTAAGTTTGAGAAACCGGCTCGAGATACACTTTTTGTTATATTCCATGGAATGCTCTTAAGATATTCATTGCTATCGGGATGTTAAGTGCTTTGACAAAAAATCCATACAAAAATGTCATCTGTGGAAGCCGTAATACTGTAAAAAGCACGACCAATTATTTTAGCCGGCCCGGCTAAAATAACTGGATGGCCTACCTGCCTGTCAGCCTTTCATCTGTGCACAAACTTATCTTGTGCCCTCATTGGTCATGTGCGCGTTCGTGTGTGTTGGAGGAGGGGCTCTGTAAGGAAGTGGCAGATTTTCTCCGGTTGTGTATTTTCAAATTCTAGCGATCTCGAGCCGGTTTCTCAAACGTACCTACCCCACCTTTAAAAGTTATGCCACAATAACACGCTGCTATTTGATGGAATTCAAGGGTTTAATATATGCAACTATAAAAAAAACTGCATTGTTAATGACAGTGCAGGCAGATTTCTTCAGGGGATAATCTTTGCATTGGGTGGTATTTTCTAAAGCTTGTGGACCTGCTCCCTACCAGTAAGAGAAGGGCATGTTGGGCCATCTGTTTCTCTGGCCAATTTCAGTTTCAATAATTGGAACTGCTCCAGCATTATACAGAACCCATGCCTGCCATGCGTGTTGTATGTGTGTACCACAATAGAGACAGCAAGAGAGACGTCAGAGCAACTACAGGTAAAACATTACATTACATGCTACTTGTTAGACGCTTTTATCCAAAGCGACTTACATACTCAATACTGTGGGCAATCCCCACAGGAGCAATTTGGGGTGAAGTGTCTTGCCCAGGGACCCAACGACATGCTGACTGCAGTGGGGTTTGAACCTGTGACCCGCTGATCTGAACACCAACGCTCAACCCACTGCACCACACACACGCCTCCTTAAAAAGGAGATAGATTGTAAAAGAAAGCCACATTTTAGGCAACTGTTTTTCAGGAGAAACCTTTGGTGGACCTACATGTCAGTGTGAGAGTCCTACAAAGAAACAGGTACAGTCTGCAAGGTGTGACAATTCAGAGCTGAAGGGTTTCAGCCCTCCTTTGTGGGTCAGAATGAGCTAGAAGAGCTGCTATGTCATTTCCTATTCCTTCGAGGTCAAACTGAGTGTTGCTGGCCCTGAAGAAACAGCCAGTCCATCAGACCTCCACTGTGTGAGCTCCAGTTATTCTTTCTGTCAGGGTGCAGGGTTACAGCCTGCACAGCATGATTTAATACCAGTATGTTGAAACAAGAAACAAGAGACAAGTGTCAGAAAAAATATGCTTGATTTTATAAAGGTGTCATCACAAAAAAGTCAGGAACCAGGAAGCTGAGGAAGCAGACTTTTCCGTCTTGTCATTTATAATATCAATTTCTAGCTTCTATATTTACATCTTGTCCCTAAAAAAAAAAGTTATATATGCCTGCATGCTTACTTTATTATAAAATACCTAAGAAGGCGTTAGCATGTTGTCTAAGGATCTGGGGAGTCCATTATGTTATATTATATGATTTTGGTGTATTATAATGTTTATAATAATAATAATAAGTAAGTAGGAAACATAGTTATTAAATCAGTTCATGTTGGCATAAATGTAAAGATGAATTTGTCAGCATCATAGTCAAATCAACTACATACTCCAATGATTTGACCATTGAAATAAGAGATTTCAATATAAAGAGTCACATTACATCCCTTAAAAATCTGGTCTCTGCTGACATCAAGTGGTTAAACCTATCACTTTGCTGCAGGTGAGTATATATGGACTCTGGACATCACTGTTGTCCCCGAGTCCACCGCTTGCACCTGTCAGTGGTTCTGCGTGAGGTCAAAGGCTTTAAACATTCAACCGGAGATGGGAGCATAACACTAGGCTTTAGACTGATGCCGCATTTCAAACGCTTGTGTGGCAGAAGTACTCTGTGTAGCCTAGCAACAGTGCTGGCTGACCGGTGATCAACCTTCATATTGGCAGACAATGCGAGCACAGTTGGTGCTTTATTGTGACCGACTGACAAATGAATGCAGTTTATGAATGAACACAGATTTGAGTAAGGGCTCTCTTTAAAGACACATGCCTTATCACAAGCATTGATATCCGTTTAAAAGTACATATTCATGTTAATCTGCCAAACAACCCAAAGTAAACCTGTATCATCATTAGTTAGATACTAAATGAGTGTTTTTGACAGCTGGCAGCCCAAACTCAGAATCAGATTTCACTTCAATTATGTTGTTGTGATAACAAGTCATTTAAAATACGCTTAAAGACATGTGGAAGCATTGTACTTTAAGAGAATATAAACTTTAAAAAGGGCTCTTAAAACAACCCAAAAAGTATTAATTCACCTCTTTAAAAATTGGACAGATTAGGCAAACTAGCAGATATATGAATTGGAAAATGTTAACTTGTTGATCAAGTATCCTAGGTTGACTAAATGTATATCTTTGTGTCTTATCCTTTGTCCAAAAATCTATTTATTTCTCTTCTGACTGACATAAGAAATACAATCTAACAAGACAGGCCTTTAGACCACATTTCAATGTTCTCCAATTAATTGTTTTCCTAGCACATTGATATTGCGATCATTTGACTATGTCACATTTGTAAAAAAAGCTTTTCCAGCGTCTTTGTCAGGTTTTTTCACAAGTTAACGAACAACCTTTTTGGTCCAAGGTCTTGTTCTACAGATATATTGGAGACAATAGGTTTTGAATTCAATGTTTACCTGTCATGGGCTCAAACAGCTGGTTGGCCTCTAGGTCAGTGAAGGTGGAGAAGCAGCAGGGGCAGCGGAAGGAGGCACGGTTGGTGGAGTCTCTCTCATCTGTCTCGATGCGCCGTCGAATGTGATCCAATTTATACTTGACTACGTTGACCAGTACCCTGAAAAGATCCGTTTGGTGGGAGGTCAGAAAGGGGTCAAGTTTGAGCGTCATTGTGGTAAATCAATCTATTTTCTCACACTCATATATGTACATTTTGTCTAAACTAAAAGGGATGAGGTCAAAATGTATTGATCTTTGAAGGAATGCACCAATGCTCTCAAAACATAAAGGGAACTTAAAGATTTTAGCCTTTGCATCAATTTACAAGCACAAAAACCTAAATAACACACTACAGGAGAGGGAAACCCCCGAAAAGCATAATAGGGCCTCTGTAATAAGAGGAAGCCATTGTGTGTTACTGTCTATTATCTGCACTGTTGCCATGCAAACCAAAAAGAAGATTATCCACCTGTAGTTGATGAAGTAGTAATTGTGCCGTGTGGTCTTGCCATCAGGGGCCGTTTCCACTCTCATGCGACACTTGACAAACTTGTCTGCCTTCAGGGTGTTGAGTACTGAGCGCAACTGTTTACGATCAAACTTGAGCAGCTCCAGCATGTCCTCCTCACGTACACAGGGGTTGCGAATGAGCACGTCCAGGGCCAAGGCATGTTCCACTCCATAGAAACCCCTCACTACCTGCTTGGCTAGCCGCTTCAGTGCTGCAGGGACCTCGGTGAGTATCTCTGGTTCTATCATCTTCTGCTGTGGATAGAGATTAGACATATTGAGTAAAGACAAGGACAACATGTAGGAACTTATTAGAGAGAACCGGCAAATACTTTGTTTAGCATGAAACAGAAGGTGAGTAGCTATAGCTTTGGAGGGCAATTGGTTACATTTAAAAGGGAAGTGAAAGATCAATCAGGATAAATACAATGATGGACATTTAAATGGTGGGATGATCATATTTTAGGAATAATGTTCTCTCTACTATACTTGATAATTTGCTTAAACGCACAACCTCTGTTGAAGTGGACAACCTTTAAAACATCATATGTCCTGTTGTTTTGTGCTAACATTAACAAGTGGTGATTAATAACGCCAGCCCAGTCTAAACTGGAAGCTAACCCGGTTGTTACATAGTGGCGACCTGACTTAGCTTAACGTTAGCTTAACTTGAACAAAGAAAAACAACAATTACTAATGCAGCAAATTGGCTGTAACACAAACCAATGTTATAGGTGATGATAGTATAACTTGGTAAGCTAGTAGCATTGCTGTTGCTTTATCAGGTAGCCATTACCTCACGTTGTCTTGTTAACTAAACTTGCAGCCAACATAAAGTTAGTTTGCATAAAAACCTAGTTAACGCCAACCTTACCCGGTACTCGTTATGTTCCACGAATACGCCAAAGCTACCGCTTCCTTAGGTCATTTCAGAGTACGCTGCTTGTATCGCTAACCAACACAGCTAAAGCTCACACACATTTGTAATTTTGAATCTTTAAACTGCTAGGTTAGCATGCTTCACGACTCATTTGAGAACATAACCCCGGAAATGAAACCCTAAACCACAACAAAGGTTTTCCAGTTGCAATCAGTAGCCAATAGGGTAACAGGAATGTTGATTGACATACATTTAGACGAATAGCTGTGCATCTCTATTCCTAACGTATTTTTTGGGGAACCAATCGGAATAAAGAAATTATATTGGCAGGCGGGGTTTTCACTGTTTTCTTCCGGGACGTCGCTGTCAACAAAAAATGGCTTCTCTTGACAGGGTAAAAGTATTAGTTTTAGGAGATTCGGGTAAGTAAAGTACCGTTTTTTGCAATTCCGAAAAAGTGTCTGTTTATGTTAATACATTTCTTTGTTTTGGCCGAAAGTAACCCAGTTTATAACCCTTGTATTCTTAAATAAGGAACATCAAACTCTTGTCTTTAGTCTGCACTTTAGATCTGCATATCTGACGCAACATGATTGTCGTGTTCAACGTATTTTGTGATAAAGGTGGACCAGCATCTGGCCCTTCATTTTAAAGTAATAACTTCGTGTTACCTGAATGTATAGCCGATCTAAAGTGTTGTATTTGCCTGCAACAGAGTGCTAAGTATACCCCTTATCGTCACATAAAGTTGAAATTGTATAGAAACATGTTTGCCGAAGTGGTACCTAACAGCTCGTTAAAGCTATTTGCTGGTGTGCTGCAAGGTTTATACTTTAATTGAATCATATGTTGCACTATTCGCACACATGTGTGTCTTCCTGCCTACTGTAGGAAACATTGCACAGGTTTATACTGACTCAGTCAATTAAATGACATTCATCCACCCACATTTCTCATCTTTTGCAGGAGTGGGCAAGTCCTCCTTGGTCCACCTGCTATGTCAGAATCAAGTGTTAGGAAATCCATCCTGGACTGTCGGGTGCTCTGTGGATGTCCGGGTAAGCAGGTCAATGCCTAGATAACAGAATTTCATTTGGACACGGTCTTAAATTATGCTACCGGCCTTTAAATTAGCTTCAGATAAACTACATTGAAATGCATACTCCATACAACAACCTTTTAAATAACAATGTTTGTAAAAGCCAATATATTGGAAACGTACATGCTTCCTCTTCCTCCAGTCTTGTGTCTACTGACTGAAAAACACATGTTTAAAGTTAGTGTAATACAGTATGATTCGGAAAATATAAGTTATCTTTATGCAGAGAACAGCCAATTTCAGAACAATTAAGATTTAATTACTGAATTATAATAAATTAAACATTAATATGTACATCAGTTTATTGTTACAGCTTGTAAAATTGTACTTACTTCATATACTGCTGTGTTGCAGAACTTCCTTCCATTGATCATGAAATACATTGAACACTTACATGTTACAGATGCTTAGAGGAATATAATCTATTGGTCAACATTTTTTTTGTTAACTACAGGTGCAAGACTATAAGGAGGGGACGCCGGAGGAGAAAACCTACTACATTGAACTCTGGGATGTCGGAGGATCTGTTGGCTGTGCCAGCAGTATCAAAAGCACCAGAGCTGTCTTCTACAATTCAGTCAATGGTAAAGATGATTTCTTTTGAATATTTAAAAATATCTAACATTTTAAGGGTTGCTCTTACTGAGTTGTGTCCTCTTTTTTTCAGGAATTATGTTGGTACACGATTTAACAAATAAGAAATCCTCTCAGAATCTGTACCGCTGGTCACTGGAAGCTTTAAACAAAGATTCCTCTCCAACAGGAGTGATCGTCTCAAATGGGTAAGTACACATGTAGTTAATATTAGATAGTTAAATGTGACTAAAAAAGTTGGATACTGGGGAGTTAAGTCGTGTTCTTTTCTCACAGCAGTGACTATGACAGAGAGCAGTTTGCTGAGAACCCAGTGCCTCTGCTGCTGATTGGCACCAAGTTTGACCAAATCCCAGAGAACAAACGCAACGAGGTTCTCACTCGGACGGCCTTCCTGTCTGAAGACTTCAATGCAGAGGAGATCAATCTCGTAGGTCAACCTTTCATTCCTGCAAGTTCTGACTTTAGGCCCATTTCAAGTAATCTGTAACATTGCTGGGTTTATAAAAGAAGCTTATTTCAGAACAATTTGAAAAAAAAGCTACAATAACATACACATGTTATCAGTACAGTTTCAAGATTCAACCTGGGAAAGAACAGAGCTTTAGTTTTAGTTGAGGTTTGTGGCTGAAGTGCTATTTTGTTTTCACAGGACTGCACCAACCCAAGATACCTCGCTGCAGGCACATCAAATGCTGTGAAGCTCAGCAGGTTCTTTGACAAGGTGAGAAACACACATTTAGAGATACATACAGCATGTAAAGCAGATTATTATTCATATTTGTTATACTTTCATCTCTTTGGTGTTGATGAGAAGCATCAAATATCATGTGTGAACCATGTAGACACATTCTATTCATCTATTACTAGTAATTGCAAAATGACATTAAATATTTAATTTCCCCAAAAACGTGGTATTAATGCAGTTCACAGATCCGTAGTGTGCTACACTTTCTTCTGTTGGCAAATTGAATGTCAATGTGAATACTACAGTATATAACATTCCAAACAAATGTGTCCTTGTGAAGCGTGCCTAGTTCTTTTTTATATTAAGGCGTAAGACTAAAGATGTTTTCTTTTTTATTACATCAAAAATCATAACACAATATTGGCTATCCTATGACTTGATATATTTTGTAATAGATGCTTGTAAGAAAAACAAAAATAATCATGTTATTTCCTGTATTGTAGTGTGATCCAAATTGGGAGACATTGAACAATTATGACAGTCAAGACATCAAACATAAGTCTTTTTAGTACGAAGTTCTCTGTATCAGTACAAATGTTGTATCTATAAAAACTTGAGCCTCTCATTCTCCTAACAGGTAATAGAGAAGAGATATTTCACAAGAGATCCAAGTCAGGTGAGTTTCACATGTCTTTTCTTTCTCTTTTGACGTAAGGAAATCTTGACCAGGACGAGGACTTTATTTTAAGGTGAACTGCTTTTTTAAAACGGCACATTCCTTTCACTTTCTCTGCAGATGGCGGGTTTCACAGACAGAAAACGGTTCAACTTCAAAAGTTTGCACTATGACTGACAAACCGTGACAACCAGCAGTATTCTGTGGTTTGACTTTCACACCACAAGTAAACCATTTACATGCTTTCTGTATCGCCCCCGCCTTCTGAACACTGTTTCAACTGCTCTTGTGTAAAGTCTTAAATGTATTCTGCAACAACTACAACAATTACGATCGAACATAATAATTATTAACATAATAAAGGTAAATATGTACATAGTTGACAAAGATGTAAAAATACATAATTGTAGTGTGAGATTTTGAGTTAAATCAACATTTTTTTAATTTCACATTTTATTTGTACAATTGTTTTCACAAACCTTTACATAAACTGGTTTCATGAATTTCAGTTCCTGTTTGTTTTGTTCAACTACACAAAAAAAGATAAACATAAAATACATTTGGACATGGTCACAGATTTTTAGCTAAGAATAAAAAACTATTTCTTCATCACTTGACGTCACACGAATATCTACAACAGGTTCAATCTATTGGACACATTATTTGCCTGTTAAGTTCATTATTATTATTATTTTTAATAAGATAAGACCAGTCATTCTCAAATGTGTTGTTTTACTATCCTATTCAATTTCTTAAGTAAGTTAAAAAAAGGAACATTTTCTTGGCATCTTTGCCTCATGCTACATTCTCTTATTTCTTCATCACTTCCTTGATCCAGGGGAGAAAGGATTTCACTTGAGTGAAGACATGGGGATACATTGGATCATTACAATTACATGGACTGGTGAAAGCCGTAAGACCCTGAAGCTCTCCTTTGCAGATAAGCGGTCCACCGGAATCCCCCTTAAAAAAGAAGGCAACACAAAGAAGAGATGATTGAGTAGACCGGAAAATAAATAGACGCTCTTGTTTTTGATTAAATCAAGTATGATTCACGTTCACAGAATTATGAATGGTTAATTACCTGACAAACCCCTCCCTTCTTTTTGTCAAATTTGGTGCATATCATTCTACTAGAAACAAAGTATTCTTTCCATATGTGGTCGCACTCCTGGCTGAATTGTGTGGTCTCCGTATTCTCCTTCAGGACATTTGAGATAGGCTTTGTGTGTCCAGTTCGGCCCCAGCCAGCAACCTCACATTTAACTCTTGCGTGGAGGTCCTCATCACTCTTTGGTAGTCCGATGATCTTGACATAATTATTCAGTGTGGCATTCTTTTTTAACTGTGAGAGAGAAGAATCCTTTGTCACTAGATAGTTGTGTTAATATCCTCTTAAAGTCAGATTGAGGTTTTTATGTAAAGCACATCACCCCTACATCCTTCCGAGCAAATGTGTGAAGTGCATACATTACAAAAAAATGAAGCTAAAATGAAAGCATTGTACAAAACCCTTAACAGATTCTTTACCTATGTTTTTGTATGAACGTTAACACAGTTAGTTTACCTTGAGTAACATGATATCATATTGGTGTCCGTCCTTTTTGAATTTTGGATGTGGATGGCGCTTAGCCACTTCTATCCTTTGCTGACTTTCCTCTTTCCTTTTGATGTTGTGTGCTCCAAGGACCGCCGTCATGGTCTGCTCACTGACAAATAAGGGTACAAATATTGTGAAATTGTATTGTAAATACTTAACAACAATGTACACCTTGAAACAGACTGAAAACATTGACAAATATGTCAAATATAACTACAATGATACAAATAACTATGTGAAAGCTGTCTTAACAAATGTCTTTCTTATATGTATTTTACTGAACTCCAGAAAATGAAGAACGTGCAGGGAATTGGCAACAAATCTTTTTGTGAATGATAGATATTGTGTCATGGGGAAAAACTATTATAATTGAATGCAGTAATTCGGAGCCACTTATTTAATTCATCATTAAATTGCTTTTCTAATTTCTGTAACATTAACTCACTCTTCGCAGTGTGCTGCAGTCAGAACAAAGTCCTCTCGAATAAGGACCCCGCCACATGAGTGTGTTTCCTGAATCTGAAGAGATGCCATGTAGGGTCGGGAATGAGGCTTCGCAACTTTCCCCCCCACTATGCCACTCTCAGAAGCCCCTTAAGATTAAGAAGGTTAATTAATACACAGGTAAAAAAAAATACAAATTGCTGCCACTCGATTGTTACTCTTAGCAAACTGAGTAAATTTAATCCAACCTTCCAGCCATTAAAAAGCTTATTTTCTTACTTGTCTATACATTTGAATGTAATTTCATCTCATCTTACCAGTTAGGGAGAGCTGCAGGAACAAAAATAAAATGCAGAATGCATGGATCATGTTCATTGTGCCGTAAAATCTGAACCGTGTGTCTGGCACTGCTCCCCCTACCACCTTTTGTAGTCAACCTAACCCCCACAACGGAAACTTTGTGGGCAGGTGTTATTCTTGCAAAGAAGAGACGAGTTCACACCTTTTTCAACTGCAGCAAGAGTGACACTGTTTCACCCTTGAATGAGAAAGGTCCGTTTGTGCTGTAAATAATCCCACATTTATGAGTGCTTTTTTTCAATAGGCTACATTTACTCTTTAACGGAAGAGAATGTGGGTAAAAGGTTAATGGTTGAGTAGGAACTGTGTATTAAGGCTTTACATTATAGCACCTTTCAGCACACGGCAATTCAAAGTGCTTTACAAAATAAAATAACAGACATTCAAGAAGAAATACAGAAAAATGGCATTTAAAGACAGGCATTTAAAAAGCAAAGATAATAAAATAAACACAACATGTATAGAATACATGAATAGAAGCCATACTGCAGCTCAATCAAATGCAGCGGCAAAAAGATGGGTTTTCAGTCTGGATTTGAAAATAGTAAGAGTTGCAGCGGACCTGCAGGATTCAGGGAGTTTGTTCCAGATAGTCGGGGCATAATAGCTGAACGCTGCTTCTCCATGTTTAGTTCTTACTCTTGGAGCAGAGAGCAGACCCGTCCCAGAAGACCTGAGAGATCTGGATGGTTCATAGTTATGCAGGAGATCGTTAATATCATTTGGTCCTAAACCATTCAGTGCTTTAAAAACCAGCAGCAGTACTTTAAAATCTATTCTTTGACACAAAGGAAGCCAGTGTAAAGACTTCAGAACAGGAGTCATGTGATCCACTTTCTTAGTGTTAGTGAGGACTCGAGCAGCGATGTTCTGAATCAGCTGCAGCGATGTTCTGAATCAGCTGCAGCTTTCTAATAGATCTTTTAGTGAGACCTGTGAAGACACCATTACAGTAGTCGAGTCTACTGAAGATAAAAGCATGGACAAGTTTTTCCAAATCCTGCTGTGACATTAGTCTTCTAATCCTCGATATATTCTTTAGGTGATAGTAGGCTGATTTAGTAATTGTTGTAATGTGACTGTTAAAATTCAGGTCTGAGTTCATGACTACACCTAGATTTCTGGCTTTATCTGTTGTTTTGAAGTCTGCCGACGGAAGCTCTGCGATGGCTTCTATTCGTTCCTCCTTTGCTCCAAGAACAATAATCTCAGTTTTTTTTTTGTTTAATTGGAGAAAGTTCTTACTCATTAACTTCCCCTACAACAACAGTACCGCACAAAAAGGAGTCCTGTGGAGAAACCTGAATGTAAGGAAGTTTCTAAACAAGGTACAACAATGTCTTTTGTAGTGTGTTACAAATACATTCATACAAGTTGAAAACATATTTTTTTAATTGTTCTTAGGTTGGCTTTTCAGAGCATGGCTTAAATCAATCACAGCAAGTAGCACGGACAGACAATGTAGTAAGGGCACTTGGACATATTTTATTTTAAGCATAGTGTACAAACAGACATATTATACACACACACACAACAACTCAAGCTCGCACACACCAGTATAAAAATCATTGCAGTGTTTAAACATACGTTATCAACTTCATTGCAGAGCTTATAAAACGTAGTGACTGTTATAAACACTACTCTTTCTTTTTCTTTGGAGTCCCCCTTCCGCAACACTTGCTGGTGCAGAACAAACAGCCTTTCAGTGTCATCCACAAAAAAGTGATTATAATTAAGATTAAAATGCCGATGACATCCAGGCTATGGTACTGAATCCAGTTTAAGTCGTGTGCAGCGACCCGGAGGTGTTCGGCTCCTTTGTGCCTAATGACAAACTCAGTCCAGAAAACAGCCAGGTCCAGAGGCGGGACAGGACGGTCCAGATGAATCTCAGACAGCCTCACTATGTTCTCCTTGTAACTGGGGGGGAAGTAATGTTTTTTAAAACAGAGTTAATATGATAATCCCCAGTTTTATCAGAAGTCCTATCATGTATTCTCACAAACTACAATACAACTATCTTCATTGACCCTGTTTACAATAAACATCTATAAAACAAGATGCAAAACAGTCCAAATATATTGCAGATAAAAAAAGAGTAATTATTTTTAAAGAGGTATTTCTGAAGCAGCATTTACAATGATAGTTACCCGTGGAGTTTAGTCATCTAGTAGTGTTTTTTTATTGTTTTTCTATTGGTTTTTATCCTTGTTTTGTATATCTGGTGCAGGTGCTCTGCACTTATGTTGATTTTCGAGAACATTTTGCAGGGTACCTTTATTTTGTATCTTTTTTTTCAATACCTAAGTGCTACACTTTATTCTGTTGGCAAATTGAATGTCAATGTTAATACTACATTATATAACATTCCAAATACATTTCTCCTTGTCAAGCGTGCCTTGCTTTTATATTAAAGTGTAAGACTAAAGATGTTTTTTGTTTTTTTACTTTAAACATCATAACACAATATTGACTATCCTATGACATCATGTATTTGGTAATAGATGCTTGTTAGAAGAAAAAAAATCATGTTATTTCCTGTATTATGGTGTGATCCAAATTGTGAGACATTGAATAATTATCAATCAATCAATCAATGTTTATTTATATAGCCCAATATCACAAATGTTACATTTGTCTCAGTGGACTTCACAGTTTGTACAGAATATCAGTATGACAATACGACACCCTCTGTCCTTAGACCCTCACATCGTACAAGGAAACACTTCTAGAGAAAAACCCACAGTTTAAAGGGGAAAATGGGAGAAACCTCAGGGAGAGCAACAGAGGAGGGATCCCTCTCCCAGGACGGACAGACGTGCAATAGATGCCGTGTGTAAATCAAAGAGATAATACATTTACAGCATAGGTAGACCAAATGTTTGGAAATGCATGTGTCTATAATAAGAAGATGAATCTACGAGGATGTCAACAATCCTGTGGGAGCCATCAGGGAAGTAGTATGATGAGAGTCAGGCAGGACCACAGTGATAGGTTCAGCCACGACTCGAAGTCCAGGACTCAAATCCAGAACTCAGGATAGAGGATCCAGGACACAGGACCACAGCAACAGGATCAGCCACGACTCAGGATCCCGGCGTAGATATAGACACCAAAAAGAAATTTGGGGGAAGCTGGGTTATTCGGAACATGAGAGTACACAGGTACAGACAGACAGAAGGAAGAAGTAAGGTCCCCCTCGACAGTCTAAGCCTATAGCAGCTAAACTAACGTGTCTACGTACATGGACTCCCTTAGGATAGGTTGAGGTTCATTTTATTATGACAGTCAAGACATCAAACATAAGTCTTTTTAGTACAAAGTTCTCTCTTTCAAAGTACAAATGAGTATGTGAATGTTGTATCTATTAAAACTTGAGCCCCTCACTCTCCTAACAGGTAATAGAGAAGAGATATTTCACAGAAAACTTCAGAAGTTTGCACTATGACTGACAAGCCGTGACAACCAGCAGTTTTCTGTGGTTTGACTTTCACACCACAAGTAAACCATCACACTCATTGACATGCTTTCTGTATCGCCCCCGCCTTCTGAACACTGTTTCAACTGCTCTTGTGTAAAGTCTTAAACGGATGCTGCAACAACAACACAAATTACGACAGAACAGAATAATTATTAGTATAGTCAAGATTAATATGTACATAGTTGACAAACATGTACAATTACATAAATGTACTGTGAGATTTTGAGTTCAATCCAAAAAAAATGGTATTTCACATTTTATTTGTACAATTGTTTTCACATGCAAAACCTTGTTCAACTACACAAAAAAAGGTAAACAAATCACATATTTTTTTGACATGGTCACAGTTTATTAGCTAGGAATAAAAAACAATTTCTTCATCACAATAATATCTACAACAAGTTAAATCTATTGGACACATTATTTGCCTATTAAGTTTGTTATTTGTGTTTTAAATAAGATGAGACCAGTCATTCTGAAATGTGTTGTTTTACTATGCCAATATATTAAGTAACTAAAAAAAGGAACATTTTCTTGGCCTCTGAATTGTGCCTCATGCTACATGCTGTTATTTCTTCATCACTTCCTTGATCCAGGGGAGAAAGGATTTCACTTGAGTGAAGACATGGGGATACTTTGGATCATTACAATCACATTTATCGATGAAAGCTGTAAGACCCCGAAGCTCTCCTTTGCAGATAAGCGGTCCACCGGAATCCCCCTTAAAAAAGAAGGCAACACAAAGAGATGATTGAGTAGACCGGAAAATAAATAGACGCTCTTGTTTTTGATTAAATCAAGTATGATTCACGTTCACAGAATTATGTTGTTGTGTATAATTGTTAATTACCAGACAAACCCCTCCCTTCTTTTTGTCAAATTTGGTGCATATCATTTGACTAGAATTAAAGTATTCTTGCCATATGTACTTGCACTCAGGGCTGAATTGTATGAACTCCGTATTCTCCCTCAGGACATCTGAGATAGGCTGTTTTTGTCCAGTTCGGCCCCAGCCAGCAACCTCACATTTAACTCTTGCGTGGAGGTTCTTATCACTCTTTGGCAGTCCGATGATCTTGACATCAGTATTCAGTGTGGCATTGTTTTTTAACTGTGAGAGAGAGAATAATTATTTGTTACATAGTTGTATACTCTTAAAGTCAGATTGAGGTTTTTATGTAAAGCATATCGCCCCTACATCCTTCTGTGCAAATGTGTGAAGTGCAAACATTACAAAAAAATTAAGCTAAAATGAAAGCATTGTACAAAACCCTTAACAGGTTTTTTAGTTTACCTCGAGTAACATGATATCATATTGGTGTCCGTCCTTTTTGAATTTTGGATGTGGATGGCGCTTAGCCACTTCTATCCTTTGCTGACTTTCCTCTTTCTTTTTGATGTTCTGTGCTCCAAGGACCGCCGTCATGGTCTGCTCACTGACAAATAAGGGTACAAATATTGTAATACTATTGTTAATACTTAACAACAATTTTCACCTTGAAACAGACTGAAAACATTGATAAATATGTCAAATATAACTACTATGATACCAATAACTATGTGAAAGCTGTCTTAACAAAAGTATTTCTATATTTATTTTAACTGAACTCCAGACAATGAGGAACACGCATGGAATTGGCACCAAATATTTTGTGAATGATAGATATTGAGTCTTGGGAAAAAACTATTATAATTGAATGCATTCATTTCGGAACCATTAAATTAATTCGTCATCAAATCGTTTTGTTGCATTAATGTGTAATTAACTCACTTATCGCAGTGTGCTGCAGTCAGAACAAAGTCCTCTCGAATAAGGACCCCGCCACATGAGTGTTTTCCCTGAAACTGGAGAGATGCCATGTAGGGTCGGGAATGAGGCTTCGCAACATTCCCCCCCACTATGCCACTCTCAGAAGCCCCTTAAGATTAAGAAGGTTAATTAATACACAGGTAAAAAAATACAAAATGCTCAACTGCCAATTGATTTTTACTCTTATTAGAGATTAAAAAAACAACAACTGAGTAACCTTTTTACCAACCCTCCAGCCATTAAAAAAGCTTATTGAATCTCATCTTATCTTACCAGTGAGGGAGAGCTGCAGGAAGACAAATAAAATGCAGAATGCGTGGATCATGTTCACTGTGCAGTAAAATCTAAACACTGTGTCTGGCACTGCTCCCCCTACCACCTTTTGTAGTCAACATAACCCCCACAACGGAAACTTTGTGGTCAGGTGTTATTCTTGCAAAGAAGAGACAAGTTCACACCTTTTTCAACTGCAGTAAGAGTGACACCGTTTCATAAAACAGTCATTTGAGTTGATGCACACACTTTCCTTATTGATCAATAATCTGAAGGTGTGGGTACGTCACTACATACACCACTTGTAGCATCAATATGTATTCCCCCTTGAATGAGAAAGATCCGTATTTACTGTAGATAATCAGAGTGCTTTTTTTCAATAGGCTACATTTGCTCTTTAACGAAAGAGAATGTGGGTAAAAGGTAAATGGTCGAGTATAGGAACTGTCTATTAAGGCCGCAGGAACCACAATGTGCACAAAGGTCGTCACACCTCACAATGTAATACACGTACACACTATGCTATTATAACAGTGTTTTACAAATATATTATTGTAATCGTGTTTCGAAAGACAGACATACATGTCAGAAAGCTCAAGTAACATTTTTAATTCCAGTGTTATGAGTCGCTGTAAATAAAAAAGATTATTCTGCTAGTACATTTGCAAATCTACAATGTTGGAGATATTGTGGATTGCTAGACATTCGTGAAATATCTCGGGGTAGATTAAAATCCAATAAAATGTATTTTAATTTCTGAACCTTTTATCAACAAGCAAGCTGGCATTTACTGCAGGAAATGGGTAAAAAGGTAAAAAAAAAAAAAGAGCAGCAATGGCAAAGGAGCAGATATTCAGTAGTGACCATTAGAGGGAGCTGTAGGGAGTGAATGTGCACAAAATACACTCATAAAAGAAAACGTGCTACCCAGTCCACATAAAGCTGTGGGTGTGTTCTCAATGTTGAGGAGGCTTGCTTGATAGCACGTGTCTCCGGCCCCCTGAGTTTCCTCGCCGCGGACTTCGCCCCTCTTCTGACTCTGCATTGCCCCCGGGCCGTCTGCCGGGGGCCCCTACTCGTCCTCTGCCATGCCCCCGGGCGGTCAGCCCAAACCCGTCCTCCAGACCCCCTCCACCCACCCTTTTGACCCTAGTCATGCGTCCCTCCTCTGGACCCTCTCATCCCACCCTGCTGAATGTATGTGTTTTTTGTTTTGGGATGTCTGGAATCCATCCCTTGAGGGGGGGATTCTGTCATGGTTTTGGATTTATGTAGCCATTTTCCGGTTTTATTTTGAAATTCTGTTCTCCCTTTGTCTGGTCTTCCTTCCTGTGTTTGCCCTCCTGTGTCTGATTGCCTCATTGTGTTCACCTGTTGCCCTTGTGTTTCTGCCTCCCCTGCCCAGCTGTGTCTTGTCCTGTGATTACCCTTTCCATGTATTTAGTCTTGTCTTCCCCTTTGCTCTATGTTCGGGCGTCGTCTTTCTTGTCACCCTCCATGTTGGTCCCTGTTGGTTTTTTGTCCCGATTTTCCTCGTGTTACGGGTTTATGGATTTATGTTTTTTTCTTGTTTTTTCATTGTCAACAGCTTTTGTGAATTAAAGCTCGCTTTTTGTTATACCTTGTACCCCTTCTTCTCATTCTGCATTTGGGTCCTGATTTTCCCCAACCCTGACACAAACAGAAGTTAAATCAATTTCTCACTTATTCTAAGAATGTACTTAACCTACTAAAAGGATTTCTTCTCAAATAATCAGGAAATTATGTTGTAAAAACAATAACTCATCTCTCTCGTTCAGGTTAATGTGGTCGTTTTTTTTTTTTCTTCTTTGCAAAATGCCGCCGTGTCAAATGTCCTACTTGGGTTGCTGTACGTAGCTGTCCAATATGGCGGACCAACTCGCGCTTGCACAGTGCAAATCGGGCAGACATGCCAGTCGGGTAGTCACAAAAGCAAACTAACAATACAAATGGGCTTCTACGCTTAACGCTTCTATAAAACAGATTTCCCATTTAAAAAGAGACAAATATTATATAATAATATACAGTAAAACAAGCAACATGTCCTCGAAACATTATAATAAAACACACACTGATGCTGAAAAAGACAAGAGTGCTAACGCAAGAAAAAAGCCATTTATCCATTTTAAACAGAGCTAATGGTTTCTATCTCGAAAACATCCTTACTTGATCTGACGTCATTGAATGTTTTATTTTTCAAGAAGGGATAAGGTGTTCTTAAACTAGGTTTCATGACGCCTGGTCAAAAAGTGCAGTTGGCTTGACTTTTATTGTGATGATGAAGACTTACTGAGAAATACATGTGAGGGTAGACATATTATGTATGCTGTTTAAATGAATTATACTTCAAAAGTTAGTTATACTGCACTTGTTAGCTTACTAACTCAGCTAAACAGTGTAAGAATAAAACTATTTGCTTCTGTCCGCAAATAATTACAGTCAACCCATAGCCACAATTAAAGGAAGCACAATTAATTTCCCCTACAACAACAGTACTGCAGAAAAAGGAGTCCTGTGGAGAAACCTGAATGTAAGGAAGTTTCTAAACAAGGTACAACAATGTCTTTTGTAGTGTGTTACAAATCAATTCTAACAAGTTTTTAAAAAAAAAAGATTTGGCTTTTCAGAGCATGGCTTAAATCAATCACAGCAAGTAGCATGTTTCACATGGATTACAGACAATGTAGTAAGGGCACTTGGAAAGATTGTATTTGAAGTATAGTGTACAAACAGACAAATTATAGACACACACACACACACACACCATTATTAAAAGTAATTGCAGTTCAATGGATGGATTCAACATACGTTATCAACTTCATTACAGAGCTTATAAAACGTAGTGACTGTTATAAACACTACTCTTTCTTTTTCTTTGGAGTCCCCCTTCCGCAACACTTGCGGGTGCAGAATAAGCAGCATTTCAGTGTCATCCACAGAAAAGTGATTATAATTAAGATTAAAAGGCCAATGACATCCAGGCTATGGTACTGAATCCAGTTTTAAGTCGTGTGCAGCGACCCGGAGGTGTTCGGCTCCTTTGTGCCTAATGACAAACTCAGTCCAGAAAACAGCCAGGTCCAGAGGCGGGACAGGACGGTCCAGATGAATCTCAGACAGCCTCACTATGTTCTCCTTGTAACTGGGGGGGAAGTAATGTTTATTAAAACAGAGTTAATATGATAATCCCCAGTTTTATCAGAAGTCCAATCATGTATTCTCACAAACTACAATACAGCTATCTTCATTAACCCTGTTTACAATAAACATCTATAAAACAAGATGCAAAGCAGTCCAAAGATATTGCAAATGGTGTGCAAGTTTTAGTCATCTTGTAGTGTGTTTTATAGTTTTTTCAGTGAATTTATCCTTGTTTTGTATATCTGGTGCAGGTGCACCACATTTTTGTTTGTTTTCGAGAACATTTTAATTTGTATCTTTTTTTTCAATAGTGAATTTATTATTCAATAAAGTTTAATTTGACACTTACCTTTTGTCATGGATGATAGCATTTAGTCCAGCTAGTAGGCTTTCAGTCGTCACATCGTAAATTCCAAGTTTAACTGCGACACCGCGTGCCACCATGCGGTGCACGTTTTCCCCCTGGTCCCCAAACAGTGGAAACATCAACATGGGTACAGCATGGCAGATACCCTCATAGACACCGTTGGAACCTCCATGTGTGATGAAGGCTCTCACTTTGGGATGGGCTGAGAAGCAGAAAAAAAACACTTAAAATTCTAGGCCACCACAAAACTATTTGATTGGTAGCAAATCTTGAACTAAAACACACCTAGGAGTTCATTCTGAGGTAACCACTTCATGAGTCTCACGTTCTTTGGTAAATCTTTAGGTAGGTCTCCAGTGTATCTCCACACAACCTGAAATACAAACAATACCTCTTAATTTTAATGAATGTTAACACATTCAAACTCTGAACGTAATGCAGTAAAGTTTGCCATGTTAACAACAATGCAAGGCAAGGAACAAAGTGCTATGTGTCAAACTGATAAGGGCTTGAGCAGAGCATAATAGTGGAGGAAATTTGATCCCTTGCAGATTTTGTAAGTGTGCCCACTTACAAAGAAATTAACAGTCTATATTTTTTAATTAATGGTAGGTTTATTTTAACAGTGAGAGTAAGAATATCAAAAAGAAAATCCAGAAATTGACATTTCATAAAAGATAAAAATTGATTCGCATTTAACTGTGGGAAATAAGTATTTGATCCCCTTGCATAACATGTCTTAGTACTTGGTGGAGAAACCCTTGTTGGACACACAGAGGTCAGACGCTTCTTGTAGTTGGTCACCAGGTGTGTGCACATCTCAGGAAGGATTTTGGTCCGCTCCTCTCTGAAGATCCTCCCCAAATCCTTAAGGTTTTGAGGCTGATGCTTGGCATCTCGAAGCTTCAGCTCCCTCCACAGATTTTCTATGGGATTAATGTCCAGAGACCGGCTCCACTCCATCACATAAATGTGCTTCTTCTTTAGCCACTCCTTTGTTGCCTTGGCTGTATGTTAATGTTTATTGTCCGGCTGGAAGACCCATCCATGACCCATTTTCAGTGTCCTGGCTGAGGGAAGGAGGCTATCGGCCAAGATTTTCACGGTACTTGGCCCCGTACATCCTCTCCTCGATGCAGGGAAGTCGTCCTGTCCCCTTAGCAGAGAAACATCCACAAAGCATAATGTTTCCACCTCCATGCTAGACAGCTTTTTGGTCTTGGCCATGGTGGAAAGGTTGAAATCTGATTTATTGATTCTGTGGACAGGTGTCTTTTATACAGGTAACAAAGTTGATATTATACGACGTATGTAACCGGTCTGTTGGAGCAAGAATTATTGTTGGTTGCAAGGGGATCAAATACTTATTTCCCACAGTTAAATGCAAATCAATTTTTATCTTTTATATTTATATTATACAATTTCTGGATTTTCGTTTTTTTTACCCTTTGAGGAATTTGCCCTGAATGCATCAAAAAAATTGTTTAGCCTTCTCCGTTGGCATATTGGACACCATTGATCCCAGGGTGAAGACGATAAATCCGTCATCTCCTGATCCATCCACGAACTCCTTCAAGTCCTGTAGGAAGGTTAAAAAGACACAACAATTAGTTTGAAAGATAAAACAGGGTAGGGTGCACGGATGGTCAAATGGACAATGACCAAAGTTCACAAACTTGTTATTGTTGAGTGCAGTCATTACAATTTGCGTTAAAAAAACGCTTTCATGTATATTTACTGATATATTGAAAGGAATTCATTTGATCAACATTCAGCAATAGAAAACATGTCCTGTTTGCTTATGTCAACAAACCCTTTGCCCAGTAGAGCATTTGATTGCTGTTAACACAACAGGGCCCCTTACTTCTTTCAGAGATTAAACTGGCCATATTCCACAAATCCACTGGTTCAAATCTCATACACTGCAGAAAAACCTGTTATTTCACAATGCTGTGAGTGCATTGTTAGTTAATCCTGATTAACAGACACAACAATTTTAGCAATCTCTTCAGTACTTATGTTTTGTGACTGGAACATATTTATCTCCAGATTCAGATCAAAGGTCAAAGTACTGTCTTGTAGTCCCCGAAATCCTGTATTTTTAAATACTTAGTGCATGTCTTTACTCAAGTTTCCTGAGTTACTTATTGTGGCTAAAATGTTACAAAACAGTACCCATTTGCAGATTAGGCATGCACAGAGCACTTATGGTAATACTTGTATAGGCTCTTCACTTTGAGTGACCCCTTTTAATATATAAACTGTTGGCAAGTCTTTTTTTCTATTTATGGTATAGACTTCATTACATCATTTTAAAGGGCTTTGCTTCAGTCTGACTCAACACCAGTATGCAATTTGCCTGGAGTGATTCCAGATTTGACGGATGCTTGTTTACACGGAGATACATTATTTGAATACTCACCTCAGGCAGAGGAGACTTTGTCTTTCCACAATTGATACCGCCAATAAAAACCATGTTCGGCAAGAGCGGTCTGGGCCTCTCAAAAGTAAAGTCGTATTTGAGAAGCCAGATTGCACCATTACTGAGAAGTTTACTGTAGGTCATGTCGTCTCCTATGTACTTGCGGGCCAGATCGTCAAAGTGTGCATAGCTAATTCTGCACATGTAGGACTCCAGAAAAGACATCAGCATGTTTTTGACTCTCTGTGGGAATGTCATGATATCCGTGTTACCAGAGGAAGCCACAGGAATGTAGGAACGAGGAGAGGGGACCTGGTTAGCTTTTAGATCCATCTCATATGGAAGTCCCCCCAGGAAATAAACTGCTGGGATGTTAAAGATATGAGCCAGGACAGAGCCGCAGGGAAGGAAGGGGTCTGTTAGCAAAACATCGAAGCCCCCTTCCCTCAGTCGATCCATTAGAGGCTGGTTGTTCAACAAACTCTCGCAGGCTGTCACCTGCATTGTCGTGAAGTTTACCAAACGCTGCAAGTCGATAAACAAATCTGTGACACTCGGCGGATTGAGGTACACTCCATCTTCAAGCTCTTTGAAATTTCCGTCCAGTTCTGCTTTGGTAAAGGGGACAGGGTAGACCTCTGTCTTGAAGCTCTCTGAGCCATGAATCAACAGACTGGTTTCTGGCACCAGGGCCGGCCGTGTCATCAGCAAGCATGGAATATCATTCCATTGCTACGCTGATGACACGCAGCTATATATAAAGACAGATCCTATCCCACATGCTTCCTCACTGTCACCATCATCATCACTGTTCCCATCAACATCCCTTAACACTTGCATTGAGGAGATAAAAGCTTGGATGCAACAAAACTTCTTGCAGCTTAATAGCTCCAAAACAGAAGCTATTTTAGTTGGCACACCAAACCAGGTCCAGTCATCCCCCATAACCCACATGACCTTTTCTGGCCAAAACATACCCCTCTCCACAGCAGTTACCAACCTCGGTGTAAGATTTGACAGACATCTGACCTTTGACATCCACATCAAACACCTGTGCAAAACCTCCTTCTACCACCTCAGGAACATTGCAAAACTCCGTCCCACACTCTCCCTGTCAGATGCTGAACAACTGGTCCATGCCTTCGTCTCCTCAAGGCTCGATTACTGCAACGCTCTCCTCATCGGGACTCCTAGCGGGAGCCTTCAGAAGCTCCAATATGTACAGAACAGTGCCGCTAGGATCCTGATGAGGGTGAGAAAATACAACCACATCACACCCGTTCTTCATTCCCTCCACTGGCTTCCTGTCTCATTCAGGATCGAATACAAGATCGCACTACTGACCCACCAATGCATCCACAGGAACGCTCCTCCATACCTGAAGGAACTTCTCACATCACAAACCTCCACACGCAACCTCCGCTCCACAACCAACCATCGGCTTCGCCCCCCGAGGACCAAACTCTGCACAATGGGGGATCGAGCTTTCTGTGCAGCTGCTCCTCACCTGTGGAATTCCCTCCCAGACCACCTGAGAACTCCACAGACCACTGACACCTTCAAGAAAGGCCTAAAAACCTTTCTTTTAAAAAAAGCTTTTGATTAAACTTTTGTTTCTTTTGTTTGTTTTTATTATGCCTCCTGTAGCACCTTGGGATTGCTGTTAGCAAGGAAAGGTGCTTTACAAATCGAATGTATTATTATTAATACAGCAGCACAACGCACAGGTGTCCAACCTGATGAGACGCAAGAGGAGCCAGGCTCGGAGTCACCCCACGGTACTCAGAACCTCCAAGTGTTGTCCACTAATCCCTTGAGCACAAAGTCTGAGAGGCGACGGATCAAATGGCCGGCATCAAACGTAACCTCACGGTGGAAGGAGTTTAATCATGATGTTGACCAGATTCTGGAGGAAACAGGGAAGGGAGTGGCAGATCAAAAGCTGAAAGCCATGACAGCAATCATTGTCAGCATCGCAGTGGAACGTTTCGGAGATGAGGAAAAGGGCCCTAGAACACCTTACGTAAAGAACCAACGAGCTGTAAGGAACCAGAAAATCAGGAAGGAGTTGAATTCACTAAAGTCCCAGTTCAAGGAGGTGGGAGAAGAGGTGCGCATCGGCTTGGCTCAGCTGACGTTCATCCTCCGAAAGAAGATTCAGGTCCTCCGTCGGGCTGAGTGGCATCTTAGGCGACAACGAAAAGGGCCCAAAACATGCTGTCTTTGTTGCCTACCCCTTAAATTTCACCAAGGAGTTGCTGGGACAGAAGCGAAGTGGAAAACCGGCATGCAAGCAAGAAGAAATAGACAAACATCTTAAGCAGACATACAGCGACCCCGAGAGAGAGCAGGAGCTGGGAGAATGAAACATCCTCATACAGTAGATCCTCCTGAACCCGAAGGTGCAGTTCAGTTTGTCAGAGATGCATCTTATGTAAGTCACAGAGGTTGTTCCCAAAGCAAGGGCAAGCTCTGCTCCAGGACCAAACAGCACTTCTTACAAAGTGTATAAGAACTGTCCAAAACTCTTGCTGCGTCTGTGGAAGTTCTTGCGACTTTTCTGAAGAAGGGGGAAGATACCAGTTCAGTGGAGAGTGGCGGAAGGAGTATGGATCCCAAAGGATGATAACCCCACCCAGATAGACCAGTTCTGCATCATCTCCCTGTTTGTGTGTCGAGGCAAAGATATTCTTCAGCTTTCCAACCGGCTCTGCGCGTACCTGGCCAAGAACACCTACATCGACACATCAGTCCAGAAGGGTGGCATATCGGGGATGCCAGGCTGTCTGGAGCACAACAGTGTGGTGAATCAACTCATTAGGGAGGCCAGAGAAAACAAGGGCAATCTATCAGTGGTTTGGCTCGACTTGGCAAACGCATACAGCTCCATTCCACACAAGCTGGTACAACTCACTCTGACAAAACATCACGTCCCCAGCAGGATCATAAACCTCATTGCCGACTATTACAACAGCTTCAGGATGAGGGTCTCTTCAGGAGCAGTCACCTCAAGCTGGCACAGAGTGGAGATTGGTATCATCACAGGGTGCACTATCTCTGTGACACTATTCTCCCTAGCCATGAACATGCTCACGAAGACTGCTTTTCCAGAGTGCAGAAGTCCACTCAACGGCAACCACCCGTCAGGGCATTCATGGATGACATCACAGTCACCACTGAATCAGTCCGAGGCTGCCGATGGATTCTGCAGGGGCTCGAAAGACTGATGAAGTGGGACCGGATGCGATTTAAACCAGCCAAATCACGGTCCACGGTGCTGAGGATAGGCAAGGAAGAAGACAAGTTCTGGTTTAACATTGAAGGCACAGTCATCCCAAACATCACAGAGAAGCCAGTCAAAAGCTTAGGCAAGGTTTTTGACAGCTCTCTGAGGGACAAAATATCCATCCAGTCGACCTGCACTGAGTTGGATGGCCGACTGAAATCTGTGGACAAGTCTGGCCTACCTGGAAAGTTCAAAGCCTGGGTGTATCAGCACAGCATTCTTCCTAGAATCCTTTGGGCCCTCCTCATCTATGCAGTTCCAATCTCAATTGTCGAAACCTTAGAGAGGAGGATCAGCAACCCTCGAAGGAAATGGCTTGGGCTGCCCAAGAGTCTGAGCAGCCTAGCTCTCTATGGGGGCAACAACAAACTGCAACTGCCCTTCAAATCCTTGGAGGAAGAATTCAAGGTCACACGAGCCACGGAGGTATTGCAGTACAGGGACTCAAGGGATCCTAAAGTGGCAGGAGCTGGCACCTACAGCAAGTGAAGACGGGCAGGAAATGGAGGGCAGAGGAAGCTCTTCAGGAAGTAGAGGCAAGACTGCACCACAGGAGACTGGTGGGAGTGGTCACACTGGTTCAGGAGGAAGTGCGAGCAGCAGTGGAGGAGAACAGAACCTGCAAGGCGGTGGGGATGAAATGAAAGGGAGCA